TCTTAAATTAATACATCAACATTAGCATATTAGTTGGATTGTAATATTTTATATTTATAATAAATAGATTAAATAACTCATATTTTAGAAACAAAAAATTATATCTAAATAATAAAATTTGTAAGCTAATTTATTTAAATAAATTTATTAGTATAAATATAAAACATAAAATAAACAAAATGATTAAAAGGAATTGAGGGGGTATTTTTGTCTTTTTCTAGATTAGGCCCAATGGTATTAGAACTAATACCACCAAATGGAAGATATTAGTTATACACCCTATAATACCATGTAGGGTGTATAACTAATCCATGGATTGATTATACATAGACCCAAAATTCCTACCAAATATAGTACTAAATATAATACCACACATAATACTTGGACTATTTCTTCTAGGGAAAAGGGTTAAAAATGCCCTTAACGTATCCCAAATGGTTCAAAAATGCCCTCCTTCCACCTTTTGGTTTAAAAATGCCCTCAACGTTTTTTTAAGGTTTAAAATTGCCCTTTTTTAACAGCCGGCTGACATGGCAAATGCTGAGTCATTAAATTAGACAAATGGCTTCATCTTATTGGTCCACCTATTTTTTTAAATCCATCCCAACGACCCGACCCATCTATGCTAAAAAGGACAAAAACCCACCCACAAACCCATTTACACATTAACCTAACATATCCTTGAACTCCATTTTAGCACGATTCTCAGCCATTTTTTTTGTAGCAGCCGCCGAGGATGAAGGTTTAGGGTTGCAAATCACAACACCTTCTAGTTATGTTCTTCAGATGATACTTTTTTGTTTCTTCAATTTTTCGCTCAGTTGATTTCATTACTTTGCGACTAAGGTAATGTTTTCCTCTTTTACATTACAGAGTATATGTTAAAAATCATGTATTTTGAATCTTTTCATGCTTTGTTTACGTTGTGTTAGTTGCAGTGGTCCATGTCCCTTTTCTTTTATTTGTCTCTGTTTTCATTAATTTGGAGTTTTTAACTGCTAGTGGGGGTCTATGTCTTTTCTCGATTATATGCTTTATTTATACGTATTATATTTTATATTTTATTACACTGAGTATTGTCTGATGTGGGCTCTCTCCTTTTTTTTTGTGTTGCATATTGACTCGATTCAAGAATGGTTGAACATGTTGATCTGATTTTTAATTATGGGGGACAATGGTTTCGAAAACCACAACTGGTATACCATAAAAAATTGATTCACCTATGGAGAGGTTACGAAGTTGACTTGTTGTCTTACATTGATGTCTGTCGAGAATTTAAAGAAAAATTAGCTTTTAGTGAAGTACGACAGCTTCTATTTACAGCCCCATCTGGTGGTTTCTATGTGATCGAGGGGGATGAAGGCATTAGAACTCTTCAGAATTTATTATCTGACAATTTCAAGGTAGTGAACTTTTTTGCAGTAGATAACTATGAAGAGGAGCTTGGGTTAGTTCCAAACATCATTCATTACCATAAATGTGACAATGTTATAGAAGTTGGAACATATTGTGATAGTAGTGAGGAAGAGGAAAATAGTGAAACTGTGTCTAGCGAATACGATAGTGAAGAGTTGGAGAGTTATAAAAAGCAAAAAGAACTTGATATCAATGAAAAGTTAGACAAGTACAAGGATTTGGAATATGGTATGACCTTTAGCAATCTCAAGGAAGCTAAACAAGTTATAGACTTCTATGCTGTTGCAAATAAGAGGGATATTAGAGTAAAGAAAAGTGACAAAGGTAGAGTTACTTATTGTTGTGTTCTTGATTGTCCCTTTCGATGCTCGATTTACAAGGATGAGAGAGATCAAGGTTTTAAGATCAAGACCTTAAATCAAGAACACACATGTTATGAGACTTCTGAGAACAGGAGAGCTAAAGCTGGGATTTTATCTCAATATTTTAAGAAGAAAGTTCAGAATAATCCTGCATTAAAGATTAAAGACATGAAGGAGCACTTGTATTCTGTTTTGGATCTTGAAGTGAATGAGTCAAAATTGAAGAGAGTTAAGAGGCTTGTCTTAGACAAATTAGATGGTAGTTACGCGGATGATTATAACAAGTTGGAGGCATACGCACAAGAATTGAGGATGAGTAATCCAGGAACTGATGTAGTGATCAATTTGTCAAGAGATGCTATGGAAGAAGGCAAAAGAAGATTTTTAAGGCTGTATATATGCTTTCAGGCATTAAAGGAAGGCTGGAAAGGAGGTTTGCGACCTTTTATAGGGCTAGATGGCACCTTTTTAAAAGGAAAAAGTAAGGGAATAATGTTGGTCGCAATGGGACAAGATTCGAGTAACCATTTCTATCCACTTGCTTGGGCCATAGTAGATAAAGAAACTAAAAGAACTTGGAACTGGTTTCTAGAGCTGCTGAAACATTCTTTGGATTTAAAGTCGGGTGAAAATGTCACTTTTATATCAGATATGCAAAAGGTATCTTTACTTTAAGTTCATTTCATCTTTTCTTAGCTAGTTTTCATGTACATTATTCTGCAACTAATCTGAATTTATGTTTTTGAAGGGTTTATTGAATGCTGTTACTAATGTATGCCCACAAGCAAATCATCGATGGTGTGTTAGGCATATTGAAGCTAATTGGAGCAAAAATTACAGAAGTGGGGAGTTGAAAAAGCTTCTTTGGTGGTGTGCTTGGAGTACATATGAGGAGGAGTTCAAAGATCAGCTGACAAAAATGGGTGAGTTGAATAAGAAGGCCGCTAAGTCTTTGGTGAGCTATCCACCAGAAAAATGGTGTAGAGCATATTTTGACACCAAATGCAAAAATTTCATGGTTGACAACAACTTCACGGAGTCCTTCAACTCATGGATTGTAGAGGCCAGACAAAACCAATCATAAAGATGCTTGAAGAAATAAGGGTGAAGGTTAGAAAATTTAACCGTTTAAATTCCATAATAGCTGATTCCAGTAGCGTTTATAATGAAAAATTAATCCATTTGATCGCGCTTTTAATCTACTTTAAATCAAACTGCTAGTTTAGAGTAATAATCAAAATTTTAGATATTTGTTTTAAGGTGTTTTAAATTTCTGTTTTTTTAGTTCGTGCAACATTAGCTGGTTCAGTTTTTTTGTTTTCGATTATTGTTGTATAGGTAATGATCATGTTAAGGAAGCATGAGGCCGAAGTTAAAAGTTGGAAGAATGAGTTTTCACCACATGCAACGCATCTCTTTAATGACTACATGATCATTGCCCAACGATGTAAGGTTGAGTTTAATGGGGGCTGTGGATATGAAGTGACCGAGGGTGTGGATAGACATACAATCAATATAGAACTTAAAAGATGCTCATGCAGAGTATGGGACTTATCTGGAATACCATGTCCTCATGCCATCAAAGCATTTATCCATAAAAAAATTGACCCTATTGCTGAAATACACTGGTGGTATTCTAAGGAAGCATATTTGATGGTATATAAGCACAAGATCGAACCTGTTAGAGGTGAAAATTTTTGGAAGATAGAGCCGCACCATGCCATGGAGCCCCCTACTTTATCTAAGATGGTTGGTAGACCAAAGATGAAGAGAACAAGAGAGAAGGATGAGGCTAAAAATAGGCAGGGGGTTTGGTCAGCTTCTAGAAAAGGAATGTTATTTTGCTGATTTTTGTACTCTTAATGATTGTTACACAACTATCGTAATGACTCTAAACAACTGATTCTTTTGCTGATTTTTGTACTCTTAATGGTTGTTACACAACTATCGTAATGACTCCAAACAACTAGTCCTTTTGCTGATTTTTGTACTCTTAATGGTTGTTACACAACTATCGTAATGACTCCAAACAACTAGTCCTTTTGCTGATTTTTGTACTCTTAATGGTTGTTACACAACTATCGTAATGACTCCAAACAACTAGTCCTTTTGCTGATTTTTGTACTCTTAATGGTTGTTACACAACTATCGTAATGACTCCAAACAACTAGTCCTTTTGCTGATTTTTGTACTCTTAATGGTTGTTACACAACTATCGTAATGACTCCAAACAACTAGTCCTTTTGCTGATTTTTGTACTCTTAATGGTTGTTACACAACTATCGTAATGACTCCAAACAACTAGTCCTTTTGCTGATTTTTGTACTCTTAATGGTTGTTACACAACTATCGTAATGACTCCAAACAACTAGTCCTTTTGCTGATTTTTGTACTCTTAATGGTTGTTACACAACTATCGTAATGACTCCAAACAACTAGTCCTTTTGCTGATTTTTGTACTCTTAATAGTTGTTAGACAACAATCGTAACGACTCCAAAGCGTTACCTTTCTAATATCAATATTGTTTAATTGTGACAGTTGTAGATTTGGTTTAGTTGTGTGTATTGTTGATTTGGTTTACTTGTCAAAAGTTTATTTTAGTATTATTATGTTATGTGGTTGAAAGTTGCAGAGAACTTAAACAATTAGGCAACCAACACTTTGTTCTTTGTTCTCCTTGTAAATCTCCTTTTATGGCTGCTCGGTGATAGAAGGTGCATCAGTCAACTGATAATACATCACGTAAGCCATATAACGTTGATCAAGACTTTGAGGCTCCTTTGGTAATAGTATGATCCAAGAATGAATCTGTCAACATTAGATGAAATCAAGATTTTACCAGTGAAGCATCTCCTCCTCTGTCAAAGTTTAAGCTATTATATGTCTTTTGTTAAATCTAGGTGTTTACAGAAAGAACCTATATGCATTGTGTATGGAACAGAGATTTCTCAGCTTGTCGAATGTGAGAATTTGAAAAAAACTGCATTGCTTCTTATATCATCACATTTGTTTTTGTTTTCTGTTATCGTTGGTTGAGAATGTACAAATCTTGATTGCCTGTCAAGCTCTAAAAGTGCAGTATTTACAATACGAACAATACTTTGAAGACTAAAATTTTCAAGAGCTCAGTCAATGAGGACAATTAAATGCATTTTTCTATGGATGGTCAAAGAAAATTCTAAATGAATGACAGTAGAGTTTTGATACTTTGAAGCAGTAAATATACAATAGGAACTTCCAAAAATTTCACTGCAAAACACCTACTATCAAATCCAAACTGTAGAGTACATTGAAAGTTGACATAGAGTCGAAAGTATATACATTTCTCATCTTAACACAACACATCTTTACAGTAACTAAATTTACGAAAGGAACTGTTTTGGGAAGTCATAAACAGCTGTGTGACTAATCACACCTCCAGCTGACAACCAGAGGAGCACTTGAATAATCTTGATACTGAATGCTGTCACCTTTTCTCGCTAGTCTTGCTTCGAAAGGGAGATAACAAAGAGAGGCGAGCTGTATGCAAGTGTAAACACCTCAGTTCCTCATTCATCAATATAAATAATAAACATGTAAAACTTGCAGATAACATGAAATCTTACACTTCTGTGAAACATTGCCAGCAGTTGGGGTTTCATCTTGGGAGATCAAATTCTTCAAAGTGAAAACTGGAAGAGACAAGGTATAAGGTCAGTTTATAGATATTGACGAGCAACACGGGAGAACAAATTATTGTGGATTCCATACGTGAGGCGGCGTGTTGAGAATATAATAAAAGTATGTAAAAGTGTGCTCTCTCTTACAGCTTAAACCTTTAGATAAGACGGTCACACACTTCAACACATGAATTTCAATTGTGCAGATGGGATTAGAGCTAAGCATTCAGGATTAAATCAAAGTTGTCCATTGAGTCATCTAGAGTACATACACATCAAAGAAATCTTCCCAAAACTGTGCATGATGTTGAAAGACATGCCAGCCAAGAACTGCTTCCCCCATTCTTCTCAACTGACAACCCAATAGTACTAATCCCCTACCCCTACACCACTCCTTTCCAATCACAAACAGTTCTCTATTAAACTCGTTTTCTTCTCTTTGTACATCTTATTTTACTTGTCCTCTTGTTCTCTGATTTTGATGCTCCCTATTTGGCAAAAAGTAACACGCAGTGCTAATTTAAGAATTTGGTGTCTAAGACCAAAACCAAGCAAAGACACCATCCCTGCCTGGCTGCAGGCTCAAATGATAGCTGGTCATAAACTTCATTTTTGGAATAAGAAAACTAATGTTATATTTTTGGATAAGAACATCTTTATAATGTAAAAAGGAAATGTGTCAATCGATGTTTTCCACTACGGCTATCAAATTAAGAGATCTTAAAGATCGTTACCTTCACTAGGCAAGGGAGCATTTGTGGCACTATCATCCTGCTTCATGCTATTCATGCTTGCACCATTTGATTCTGCTCCTCCAGAGGTGTGGTTCTTCTTTCCAAACCTCAGGAGGCGTTTAAAACCTTTTGGTGATTCCTTCACTTGAGTCCTTTCTGCAGCTTCTGGATTGTTATCTACTATAACAGTGTGAATATCAGGTGCATGAGCTTTGCCAATTTCTTTAACTGTTGATCCTATGTCTGAGCTAGATGGGAGTGCTTTAGCAAACTCCAAGTTTCTGGTACAAGGGTCCTCTACAGATGAGACACAAGCATACGGAGCACGATAAACAGTACTTCCGATATTTGGAAACTTGGGTGTGTCATCTGCACAATTCGTCCCTGTCTGCAAATATTAAAGGTGGAAGATTCAATTTCTTCTGTTCCATATGCACAGCTAATTCTTCTTTTCTTGTTTTTGAGAATGACAAATCTTGATGTAGTTTCTCCATCTTTTTCTTCCTGCAATTACCTAGAGAATGGAAAACATATGAATTGAAGGAGAAGAAAGAAGAGAACTAGAGCTAATGGAAACAAAAGACCCAAAAACGATCGGGTCAAATTTTTTCGAAATGGGTTTTTAGATTAAGTGGGTCATATATTTTGAAATGGGTAAAGAATATCTATGTCACATTTGCCATGTCAGCCGGCTGTCAAAAAAGGGCAATTTTAAACCTTAAGAAAACGTTGAGGGCATTTTTTAAACCAAAAGATGGAAGGAGGGCATTTTTGAACCATTTGGGATACGTTAAGGGCATTTTTAACCCTTTTCCCTTTCTTCTAATACTCCCTACCAAACTACCCCTTAGTCTCATATATACGATTTTGAATGAGAGAAAGAAGTGAGGAATTCTTTTAATTTCAATAAATATCAACAACAATACAGTCATTGTAGTATATTAATGAGTAATATTTCATTCTTAAATAGTGCGTAAATTTTTTTTCGAACAATTTATTTTTATTTGTAGTATATCATAATACAACCTCTCATCTTTTTCTTTTTCTCTAAATAATTCATTCTTGTATTGCGTATAAGTTCAATTTGTTATTGTTATTATTGAACAATTTATTTATCTCTTAAACGATCATGATATAATCTTTTTTTGATATAAAATCAATCAGTAGATTTCACTTTTTTCGTATCATATAAAGAGAGTAGGGGCCCTCTTTCTTAATTTTTTTTCTAGTTTTTATTTCAAGAACCTTCTCTGCATTTCTCCCATGTTCTACTCTCTTATTTTTAATTTTTCTTGTGTCAGAAACATCTTTACACCAAATATAACTTTTATTAAAAACAAAAAGGCAAATGATGAAGTAACATGCTTTCGACTTGAAGAGTGATTATGTATAAAATCATAATTTTTTATTATTACTTCAGTATTTAGCTAGGATAAAAATAGTAACAAAGAAATTAAGAATGAAGAAACTCGATTAATAAAAATTAATTATAATTAAAAGATAGAAGATACTCAAACACAATCATTGTTTATGGTAAAAAAGCAAAAAAAAAACCACGAAGGAACTCAAATAATAAACTAAAATAAAAATAAAACATAGTTTATTTCTAAAGGTAATAAGTGACTAGGCAACTAACATAGGTTATGGTGCAAGTGAAACTGTTCCACCCTTAACTAGAGGTTCGGATTCAAGTTCTAAGTATGAAGAAAATCATGTTGGGAGTGCCTCCCAAATAGGCTCGGCAGTCCATCCTTAACTAAAGGTTTCGAGTTCGAGTTCTAAGTATGAAGAAAATCATGTTGGGAATGCCTCTCGAATAAGCTCTACAGTACATGAATTGAATTTAATCAAAGCTCCAACACGAATTCCACGAAAAACCTAAAAAAAAGACCAGGCAATATAATGTCTTTGACACGCCTTGAACTTAAAAGGATTTCATATAATATTAATTATTAAATATTTTTCGTAATATTTTATCAAAAAAAAGGGTACTAAGTTATGTCCTCATTTTTTTTATTGTTTTATTAATTTTTATTTTTTGAAGAGTTCTCCGGTGTTTGTAGTTATAAAATATCAATATTCTCTGTGCTTTTACTCTTTCACTCTAGCAAAATTGATCAATTCGAATGATACACTTACTACAATATCCAAAATCGTTTTTTTGTGATTTTACTAATTAAAAATATTATAAATATATTCTATTGTGAATGTCTATTATCCAATTTATTAGTTAAGCTTGTGATTTGATAAGCTTACAATCAGATAAGCATGTAATTAGATAAGCTTACACAAGTAGATGGCTCGCATAACAACGTTTAGAAAAGATAAAATAATTGAGAAGAAATATTCTGAAATATATTTGTAAGGTGGTAAATTTAACTTCTACTCTAAAAAAAAAGAGTATAACTCTACTCATGAAGTAGTAAACTTTGAATTTTACTCTCAAAATAGTATAAATTTGTAATATTCTTCTGAAGTTAGAAAATTTATAAGATATCTGAAGTTATATTTTTTTTGTATTTGATTTAACAAAATAATCACTTATTACATTTAAATAACTATGTTTCATTCTCCGAAGTGAATGAAGAAATATCATAACTTACCTACTAAAGAGAGAAAATAATAAATGATATACATTTTATGTCGTGGTATGAAATAGATTGTAATATATGTTTGGATAATTACAATTTATTTTTATCGTTCAATTGTTACTCGCTTATATTTATTCACTTTGATAATTGTATCAACGCATATAATTTTGATGAATATAGTTGCAATAGGTTATATATATTCGGTCACTCAACATATTGTTTTTTCTATATCTTTATCAAATAAAAGTAAGGTCTATATATACTTTATCCTCTCCAAATACTATTTGTATATTTACATTAAATATATCATCATTATTATTATTATCAAGTGAATGAAGAGTTTCTTTACGTCAAATCCAAGAGTTAGAAGTAGATATGACCTTTTTCCGTTTATTACAATTAGCTTCATTTAAATATGTTTATATACATTACACGATATCTAGTAATAGTAAGTCAATAACAGCAATATGCTCAAATTAATTAAATGTTATATCTTGCATAAATTAGGATTCCTTCATGAGTCACGTCAACAAATCGTGCAAAAAACATCTACCTCCTAATACTTTGTTTGGATGGTGATTTCTTGTTGTAATCAATTAATTTAAATATTTATTTTAAATTTTATTAAATTTATCATAAAAATAAAAAGTTTTATAATAATTAATTTAGTGTGATTGAATTGTTACTTTATTTTTCTCCCTTATTTTCCTTTATTTTTATTTAATAATTTTATTTTGTCTTTTTCCTACTTTTTTCCCCATAAAGGTAAAAGAGGGTGGTCTTAAATATTTCTTTTATTTTAATTTATGTAGTATTTTTTAAAGAGAATTTTTTAGAAATAACAAACATAATAGATTTATAGTTTTGATAATTGATCTCTATAACTATAGTTCCGTTTGCTATGGAGGTTACGGTTTGTATATTTCTGTATGTTTGTATATTTCGCTGGCAAATATACAAATAGTATTAATATATACAAATTTTGTATTTATACATTTAGAATTTTTCAGAACTCCGTTTGTATATTTCGCTTGCCAATATACAAACATGATAATTTATTATGTTTTTTCATAAATCGTATACAAATAGCTAGGGTAAGCATATACAAAATTCTGAATTTATACGATCAGGAACTAAATTATACAAATTCTGGATCTATACAAATCAAGTGAATTATACAAATCAGGTGAATAGCAATAATTGAGGAAACTGTAGCCGCATAATTTTTTAATTTTTTTAAAAAAGACATATTTGTATATGTAGCCATATTTTTTCTTTGGATTTTCTATTTTATCCTTAATAAGATTATTTATAGCTACATAAATATTTATATTTTATTTTAAATTACAAATTAAAAAGTTTTTCTATCAATTTTAAACTTCACGCTCAATCAAAGCATCAATTGGAACCAAAATAATAAAAATAAATATGACCAAGATAAAAAGAAGAAGAAGAAGACAAAAGCACATCAAATTAATTGTTAACATTTCTTCATTCCATAACAATTAACACTCAAGTATAATAGTATTTTGATAATAATCAAAATAAACATTATATTTAAAGTTACAGCTAACACCAATATAAGTTTGGCCAATATGTTTTAAAAGAAATCACCCTTACTTAAATATTGTCATCACTCACCAATCAACAAACTCTATGATGCATCGATTCAAATTTAATGAGACCTTAATACAATACGAAACATATCATAACTAAAAACAGAAATTAAACAATAAAATTGTGCGGGCAATCCAAAGAGAAGCTTTAACTTGTAAGTAAAAGAGGATAGTCTTAAATAACACTTTTATTTCAATATATCATTCTAAAAAATGATGAATTCTTTTTCTCTCTAATATATGAGAATAATTTGACTTTATTTTGTTATTTTATTTTTAATGAAATAATTTATACTTACATAAATATGCATAATTTATTTTTATAAATTTTAAACATTTTCATTTTATTCTTAAATTTTAGTATCTAGTCAAATACCTCACATAAATTAAGACAGAAGAAATAATAAGCAAAATAAAATAATAAAATAAAAAATAATGACATATGTAGGGTCATACTATAAATAAAGTGAATGCAAACTTTATCTCTATCTCATACAACATAAAGAGATTATTTCCACACACGCTCGACTCAAGATAATGATATCATCAAGTCAAATTGATCATTATATGTATGGTTTAATACATAGCCAACTCTTTAATTGTCATATTACGCTTTATAAAAGTCAATTTGACTAATTTTCAAAATTAAATTATATTACATTAATTTAATATTTTAATAAAAAAATTTAGATATTCAAAAATTATACGAAAAGTACTATAAATTGTAATTTAAAAATATTAGTCAAAATTCTTATAATATTGATTCTAAAAAAAGAAACCATGACTGATTCAAATATCTCCATTAAATTTAGTACTTTTAGTGTCCCAATTTATGTGATATTTTTCGTTTTTCGAGAGTTAAACAATTTAAGTTTGATAAAAAAATTGCTAAATCTTCAATTTTTTTTAAAATGAAATTTATATATTTTAAACTATGTAAAAAATACTATAAATCACAATAATTAACAATTTAAAATAATTAAAAAATATAAAAAAATTTATGATAAAATAAATTCATTTGAATCTCAAAATCCAAAAATTTGTGCCGCTTTCCAAACAAGGAAAATAGAAGAGTGCAAGAAACAAACAAAAATCGTGCGATAAATTCAAAGAGAACTTTCCTAAACCGGTTTTATATATATATATATAAATGAGCTTCCATGAACAACAGAGAGTGCGAATAATCAACGCTAAATTATGGGTAATACGAAGCCCATTACTGCAGCTCCGGTTCTATCGGACCGGGTTCGAGTTAACGGAGTTGAAACTGCGGTGACGTTCACGGCGGAGGAAGGAATACTCCGATGGAGAGAAAATTGCTTGTCGATTGAGAAAGAGGTTCTCGGGATTACCGTCGAAGGTTCGAAAATTAAAATTAGGGCTATTAAGGAGAACGACGGCGGTGGAATTATTTGCTGCGGCGGGAACACTGTAGGTACTGTGAGGAGGAGGAGTTATAATTTGGAGATGTTAACTGAGGATTCTCTTCGAATTTGGAGTCAAAAGCTTCACGAGTTCATTGATTCACTTGGTAACTTTATTTTTATTTTTTTATTATAACTTTTTGAATTAGTTTTGCTTGCATCTCTGCTAATTATGCGGGATACCTTCCACCATCACAAATACGAAGAAATCACTTCCAGACGTTTGGTTTGAAGAGGGGTTATATTGAGATTAATTATGCTGTGATAAGTTATATCTGTATTATTTTTTATTAAGGGTTTG